TTTATATGGTCGGTACTCTACTATGCAAATTAGGTGGATCCTACCGCAACAAAAGGGAACAAAGCTAGATAGATAGATAAATACATAGAGTGCGAAGGATGGAGTTTAGTTACTTCTATATCTATATTGTAAATATCTACAGACTCTCTATTTCCGATATTGAGTATTTTATCCCATAAAATAGCATGTTATAATATATATATATATATATATATATATATATATATATATATATATAATTAATGTATTCATATTATATTTGATATTTATTACTACAAACATTACTATAGTGGACATTTTTCATTTAAAATTGACGTCCTATTTTTATTAATTTATTAAACAGTCTGTAATAAGTCTATCGGCCGAGGATACATTTTCTTTATTTACATTTATCGAATGCTCAGGTCCATAGACGTTACACACTGTTTTATATATATATATATATATATATATATATATATATGAATTATAATTTTTTCATATAGACAAAAACCATTTACTCGCGACAAAGATGCAACTTCGTTTCGGTGCATTTAGTTGCACCTCGACTGGTGAGAAAATGGTTATTGCACTACTATCGTTGTTTAGCCCTCTTTTGAATTAAACCTGGGAAGTTAGAATTTATATATTATTTTCGTTCTCATCACATTCGGATATATATATATATATATATATATATATATATATATATATATATATATATATATATATATATATTTAAAGATATTTTTGTAGGTACAAAATTTAATGATCGAAATAAAGTATAAAATTTAATATTACAAGTCATATTAAAAAAAAAAATAAAAGATAAAAAAAACAAACAAAAAAAAACACAAAAAACAACAAGGTGGAAGCAACCGGTTTCGCTCCTGCTCTTCAACAGAAAAAAATTAAAACAGAAAAATGTACAATAAAAGGAATTGGGAAAAACAAAACAAAAAAAACTGAATCTCCCGCTGAAGAGCGGAGCGAAACCGTTTGCTTCCCCTTTGTTGTTTTTTTTTTTATTTTTTTTTTAATATGTTTCTAATATTAAATTTTATTGCGATATATATATATATATATATATATATATATATATATATATATATATATATATATATATATATATATATATATATATATATATATATATATATATATATAGTCATCGTAGTTTGAGTAATAATTTCCTTTTTGTTTATCAGCTTTATCCTTCGATACTTGTGGAGCAAAATTCCTCATTTTCTGATGTAAAAAAAAAAAACCTCTCGAATTCTTGACGAAATCTCGAATCTGAACCAAAACCGAGAATTGTCGAAAATTTCTTTTCTCATTAGAGAAAATTTACCCTAGCCATGCTTTTTTTTTTAGGGGGGGGGGCGATTTGATAAACTAATACTCGCTTGGTGCAAAGTCAAGTGAATCTGGCAGCACGGTAGAACAGACCAACCGAGTTTCAAAATTGTTCTTCTTGCATTGTCATGGAAGGAAACAATTAAAAAATTGACGAGAGTATGGTGATTTTCGAGCAAACTTTTATGGACATGCTGTAGCTGATGGACGTATAAATCTGCATCTAGTGTTTATTTTAATAACTTTAAATGCATCCCACCACGCGCACATCATTACCTTTCTACCGTGGAAGCCAGTGTACTCTGAATTTATTATCTGCCACGTATGGTTTACTTATGACTCACCCTAATATATATATATATATAGTTTATGCAAAACTAGATAATCTGTATCGGTAGACCCAAGGAGGATGATATCCAGAGAGCTTAATGTAAATTCAGAGCAAATAAATTTGAATAAAAATAGACCACTTTAAGGTTCCATGTAATAAATTATTTCATCACAGCCCTTTTAAATGTACTTTAAATGTACTGTCTATGAATTTGTTCCAATCGACTATTTCATAGAAAATACCCAAAACTTCAACAAACATCAAATTAAATTCTTCGTAGATTTTGTAGACATTTAGATTTATATCAAACTTTAACCCCCGAATATACCCTTTAAAGTAATGCGAAATAACAGCGTCTAAGAAGTTGAGTGAAACCTTCTCTCATGATTTATTTTATTGTATCTTTTTCCTTTTATGTCGGTTTTCTTCTTCACCCCCTTACCCATCTATACCTAGAGATAACATACGTTAAGTTAAGCGATGTCTGGCCCACACCAAGTGGGGTTAGGGATAAAGAATTGAAATGGTAAATCTAACTCACTCATGTCCTCTCTCCCCCCTCACTTCGTCACTTCGTTAATTTACATATGCTTAATACGGCCCGTCAAAAATGTGTAAATTTCTTTTCATTTTCATTTCAACCTTTGGAAGTAAAGTCTGATGATCCAGAG